GACCTCTAAGGTAGGCCGTGAATGGATTAAAGGATTGTCACAGAAATCCAAACTTAAGTAGAGTTGTCAAAATGGATTCCAGCATGTGGGTTAACTCGACCCACCCGAGTTGAACCCGTGGTGGGTTAGACTGGCCACCTAACCCACTAACACTCCCATCAACCTAACTTACTAACAACCCACTTAGCCTATTTATTATTATATACGTATTATTTTAACAAGATACAATTTTTTTTGTAGATAAAGATAAAGTTAATGTTAAACAACATGAAATAACTATAAATTTATCTTATTCAAACATCCAATGAAGTTTATTATTGATGAATAATCACTCTCATGAAAGGATTTTTATTTTTTAGTTTTGATTATTTAATGTTGTATGCATGATACTTAGTTTGACAATTTTTACTTTAGATTGAAGATTATTTTAGATTGGAGTTTATTTTAAATTATTTTTTTTGAAAAATTAGGTGGATTGATGGGTCAACCTGTTTAGCCCAATAGCCTGTGGTGGGTTGGATTAAAAAATTTTAGACATTAAGGTTGGTGGGGCGGACCGGGTCAACTAGGGATAACAAATAAACCCGTACTCGTGGGTCATACTCGAACTCATCCCATCCCCAATTTAACCCACCATCGATTTGATTGTGTTTAAAGAATTTTAATATTTAATTATGTGTGATTGTTTATTATGATGTGAAATATTTGTAGTTATTTAATTATTAAGAAGTCTTTTGATTCAATATAAGATAGACAAACAACCCAATTATAATTGTAATATAATGTAAAGGTAAGCTAAAAATATTGTGTATGTTTTTTTTTTGCAAAAGAAAAATAATTTTGATGGATACGGATATACTCGATACCCGACGGGGACGAGGATGAGACAAAAAATACATATCAGACGGGTACATAGATGAGACGGAGATGGGTTTGAACCGCAAGGATGGAGGCGAGTATCATTAAACCTATACCGTTCCGCCCTGTTGCCATGCCTAGGATCAACCCACTTAAAAAATAGGTTAAGGTAGACCAGACCAAACAGATCGGAGCCAACCTGTTTTGACAACTCTAAACTTAAGTTATACAAATACTCAATTTAATGTAGTAACAATATTACTTCATCATCTCTCTTCTTTTTGATAATACCTTTTAAGTTCTAAATTTTCATAATCAATATTTTCTTACTTACTCAACCTTATCATGATTTTCAAAATAATCCTTTGTTCTATGCTTTGAAATTTATCTTTAGATATAATAGTATATACACTTATCTGTAGTGATTAATATAATCACCCAATCTTTTAAAATTTTCTAAAGAAGTAAAGATGAAAAGACAATAAATAATAAAGTGGAGTGACAAATTAATGATTTAGAAAATTATATATATATATATATATATATAATAATGATAATGTTATATTTTATTTTGAATAAATTACACTTATATCTCTATCATGAGATTACTTATGTTTTTTTTTTACATTTACAACAACAATAATTATAAAGGATAGCATGTAATACTTTTAAAACAATTTATTAGAGTGAGTTTAATGTATAATAAGTATTAATGCTTATAAAAAAAATTAAGAGTTTCTGTAGTATATATAGTACACAAAAGAGGTGTATCAGAAAAATCTCATAAAATTAACCGTGGGTGTTGATTTACTGTATTACACTTTCTTTTTTCAGTCTCATCAATTAACAAACAATCATATGTTGGACTGATAGCATATTTTTTAAAAATTAATCCCAAAAATATTTTTAGGAACTACAACAAAAAAAAATGGTAAACTTACAAAGCTAAAACTATATTTAAATTTTAATGACAATATATATACACATGTTAATTTATTATTTAATTACAAGTAATCTTAATGCGAGAGAAAATGAAGTTTAAAAATATGCAATATGCATTATATATCCAACTTTAGTCTTGATCATAGTAAGCTTTCCCGAGTGTTTGGTGCATGTGAAATAGAGGAAAAAATAAATGAAGACAGAAAAACTTACTTTATTTTGTTGATTGATAAAGAAAAATTAGTGGAAGATTTTAAATGTTTATAAGATCCACACAAAAATTCTTCGCAAAGGAGTGGAGTGGGGAGAAGTTACTGCGATGCTTGTATAAAAGAATTATACATATTGTTAATGCAAAATAAACACTTCATATTTTTATTATTTTTAAAAATAAAATAAATAATAAAAATAATTAAAAATAAATATATGTAACTACGGTTAATAATTAAAGAATGCAAATATTTTAGAATAATTATTTAAATGTTGTGAGAAATTTGAAAAATAATATATAAAAATTATAAAATAATAAAAACTAAACAAAAAAATATGGGAAAGTGATATTTTAAAAATTAAGGGACAAAACAATTAACATAATTTATGCAAAAAAACATATTACACTTATTAATATTAGAAGAATTGAAACGCTGCTACATGTCTTTAATAAATATATTGATGAGATATTGATATTAGATGATTATGAGTGATTATATTTGAAAAAAATGAGAAATTATCTCTTTTTAATATTTAAGTGGTATAATAGTTCACTAAAATATGAAAATAGAAAATAATTACATATCATAATATCTTTTTTATAATAGGTATAAATTATATATATATATATATATAATATCAATATATAATCAATTATATATATAATTATTATAATAAAAATATAAATAAATTAATAATTATAAAATTAATCTTTAAATTAAATAATTTCTTAAAAAATTAACTTTTTACTCTATTTCTATTTTCAATTTTAAAAAACATTTATTTGTACTTTATTTGTTATTTTTTTTCCCTCTCTTTCTACGCTCAAAGACACCCTTATAAAAACAAGGATTTATCCATATGATGGCTCACTTAAAAAAGAAACTCCAAACAACCATCACACTAACCGATTTTTCATCTCTTCCTTTTTATCATTTTGTCAGATAAGAGATTTCAGTGTATTACTTATCTGTGTGAGTATCATTCTCAAAATTAAATGGTCCAAACAAGCTTTATATATGTAAAATTAAATTAATTTTATATAAAACGTTATTAGATCAATTATCATATAATTTTTTATTTAGATTTATTAAAAAAAAGGTCAATTTAAGTTATATGATTTTTTTAATATATTAAATTAAAATCCTTCTTCTTTGTTGTTGTCTCCTCTGATTTTAGAATTGGGCAATAATATGATCATCACACATACACATATATATAAAACAAAGAATAAAGAATGATGAGAAAAAAAGATTAAAGATCCTAAAGAAGAATATGAATCAAGAAACAAGGTTCCTGATGAAGAGAAAGAAGGTTCTTGATGGAGAGAAACAAACTTTAAAACAAAAAAAAGTGAAAAACTTGATACAAAGAAGCATAAAGTCAAATATATAAAAAAGAATGAAATCAAGATTATGATTATAATTAATTTTTTATGTATACGTACACATATGCACTTATATACACAAGCATATATTATATCTAATAAAGATATACACAAACTAACTTCCTAACTTATAACAACATATTGACTAACTAACTTAACTGGTTTTACAATATATAAAAATAAAATTAATTACTTATTTCAAGAGTAAGATTAATTAGATATATTTCATTCAATAACTCATATTTTACATTAAATTTTAATAATTTAATTGTTAAATTAAAAGTTCTTAATACGTAGATCAAATTTACAAAATAAATTATATAACCTATATTTATTTTTAGGATCAGTTTTATCCAATAATTCAAGTAAACTTGAGTTTTCTGGTTCGAATAAGTTGTGGATGGAGCTAATGAATTTATCTAAATAACTAATCAATATTATCTATTTTATTTAGTAATACTGTATAAACATATTAAATTTTATCCATTTATTATTTGATTAAGTTGATAAAATTCTATAATTTAAGAAGTAATTATGTTTTATTATCATGTTATTTTAATGATGTATTAATATTCAGACAAAATACATATATTTACAAATATAATTGTTATATATATATATATATATATGTAATAAAAAATCTTAACAGTATAATGGATTAAATTCATGTTATATGTCAAAAAAACTGTGCTACTGTGTTATATCTTTACAGCAAGTGGTCACTGGTGAGGTAATTTGTTAGAAACATGAGAGATTCTTACGTACTGTTCCGTTTGAAAATAAGTGCAATTCACATTATGTGATTTCCATTCAAATTATCATACATGTGTACTGATTCCACGCAATTATTCTTTTATGGTCACACTCACACATTATATACCTTTTTTTCTCAACGTAGAGTATACAACAATACCAGTTTTTAGCTTATTGACAAATCCCAACTCAATGGTAAGAAGGCAAATCCCAATCTCTCATGTCATTCCAAAAGATTTTAATTATGCATTTATTACTTAAAAAGGTAGGCCCCTTGAAAAATTTATGTCGGGCAATAAGAATGATATCAATGATTCACTACGATTAAATCAAATGAAAATTTAGATGTAACTAATTGTGCATGTACATGTACAATATTCGGCCCATAAAACCTCCACCCAAGTATTCTAATATTGTCTATATAACTCATTTAATTTTTCTAACAACAACAGATCGAAAAAGTGTGGGATCATGAAAGAAGTCATTCCCAGACCTGGACAATTTGCAGTTAGAGAACATAGGAGAAGGAGCACCATGAGCTTCAGCCAAATTAGTTTTAAAAAGAAGGTCTCGAATGTACTTGCTTTGAGTCAGAACCAGAGACTTGTCAGGCAAGTGTTTAACCTCAATACCTAGAAAGTAATCCAAGCTTCCCAATTGCTTTAAAGAGAAAATTGAGTCAAGTTGGTTGGTGATTTGTTGAATGAGCAAAGAAGAGCTGCCAGTGATAATGATGTCGTCCACATAAACTAGAATAAAAATGGTATGAGTTTGATGTTGGTACTGAAACAGAGATGGATCACATTTGCTAGCTTGAAAGCCAAACCGAGTTAGAGTCAATTTTAATTTGTTAAACCATTGACGAGGAGCTTGTTTCAAGCATTTTGCAAACCCCCGGACGAGGAGCTTGTTTCAAGCCATAGAGAGCCTTGTTTAGCTTGCAAACCAGACTCTTATCCCCAGCTTCAAATCCAGGAGGCTGCACCATGTAAATAGTTTCTTCCAAAGTGCCATTCAGAAAAGCATTATTTACATCAAGCTGAAATAGATTCCAATTATTGGTGAGAGCAAGAGTAAGAATAATGCGAATAGTTATAGGTTTAATAACAGGGGAGAAAGTCTCATGAAAATCAAAACCATGCACTTGATGAAAACCCTTTGCAACTAGCCGAGCTTTGAGCTTATCTATAGAGCCATCAGCATTTTCCTTGACTCTGAAAACCCATTTACATCCAACTGCTTTGCGATCAGATGGCAGAGAAACTAAATCCCAAGTATGATTGAGCATTAAGGCATTGTACTCTTGTTGCATAGCAGAGAACCAGTTAGGATCAGCAAGAGCTTGCTTAACAGTTTTAGGTTCACTGTGAGCTAAGAACAGGGATGGATGTATCCGAGGATTATGAAAGCCAGATTTAGACCTAGTTTGCATAGGATGGTTATTAATGGTTCTTGGTATACTGGCAG